AGGTGAGGGAATTCACCAGGGAGAGAGTAGGGAGCAGAACAGGCAGATCTACTAAAATAACAATGCCGAGGGGAGCAGCAGGCAGGTCAGGAGTGGTCTGCTGCGCCATATGGGTCAGCAACCTGGCCAGGAATCAAACTTGTACTGCAGTGGCTGCGGATAGCTTCATAGCACTGTGCCTTAATCTGTGTGCCAACAGGGAGGGCCCCATAACTTTTATTTTTATGTCACAGAAATTAGAAAGGAAATAATAACAAACATCTAATTTCCAAACTCATAATTAAGATTCCTACCTCCTGATTTTATTTTGTACCAAGTTCATCACCTCAGTATTTACTTACCAGTAACTGTTTATGATCATAAGCAAGAGTGGAGGTTCAATGTGTTATATATTTATAGTTCGTAACATATAAAGGGGAAGCCACATCACTTAATTACAAGTGTCTAGAACAGAATGGTTTTATTACAGGAACTCCAGAGAATTCAGAAGTTAACTATCTTGTCACAGGTCTAAGTAGAAAATAGGTTGGCTACTCATAAATTTGATCACCAAGTATACTGTATTCTAGAAGTCTACTTACTAGCCCTCAAAGGGCCAGTATGTGTATGTATGTGTGTGTATATATGTGTGTGTATATACTGTATATAAGTACAATTAATCCTTAAAGACTGGAAACAAAAACCAAAATACTCTTAATTGCTTAAAGGCAATTACTTCAAAAATTGTTATTCAACAATAACTGATCTATTCTAAAGGGCCTATCAATGAACTCAGAAACAAGTGTGCCAACACTCAAAGTATCAAACACAAAGCCTAAGGATACTGGTCAAAATAAATCAGAATTTGTAGAACAGGTAAAATCAGGAGAATGGTTTAAAAACACAAGAAAACATTTCTGCGGTCTCTTGTGAAACAGTGCCTATTAGCAGCAAGTTTTGGTAAGGATGATACAAAATTGTAAGTTGGGTTCATGATCTATAGAAGATATATATTAGGTTTCAAGTAAGAAGTGAACAAAGGCTTATTCCAATCCCTACAAATATCCAACTGAATATTAGGCAAAAATAACAGATATTGGAGGAGATGGAACAGAGGCTATTAAGGAATATCTGCCCTATGCAAATCTTTAAAATCAATTCCAGTGGGAAGGCTAAGAGAAGGCTGGCTAGCAATCAGTTACTGAGGAGCATATTACAATACACACATATTTTTACATTCATCATCTTAACTAATTTTATCTCTACAAACATACTAAAATATAGGTGCTACCATTCTCCTACTATAGAAAAGGTAACTGAGATTCAGAAATTTAAACAATTTGCTTGAGCATAGCAAGTTTCAGCCAAAGGAGAGTGGTGATAGCTGACACAACAATGCCCATGAATAGCATACTTAAAAATGGGTAAGAATTCAGTTTTGTTATATATATTTTACCATAATGAAAAAAATAAAAAAGATACATAAGCCTGGAAATAACAAAACAATGATCAAATCTAAAAAGTGCTTATGAGTTCAGAAAAATCAGTATTTTAAAATATTGTCAGAAAAACTAAAGTGTCAGTGTGAAAGGAAAAATATTCATACACCATCGTTATTGGTTCTAAACAAATAAAAAAATAATAAGCAT